TTAATTTTTTTCTAAGCTCATCTTGTTATTATTTCTTCATACATTATAAAGATAAATGTTATTTTATGACCATAAGAATGAAAGTTTAAATTAATTTGTAGTTGAAGATCTGACTTTGTGGTTTTAAATGAGTAAAAAACTTAAGGTGAAATAATCTTTTGTTATTTGATATTATAATGTTCATTTATCTTGATTAGCTACTATAAGAATAATTCAAGTTTTTATTATATCAAGAAGGACTAATATATTCACTTAATGTTGGTTAAAAATATTTCTATGCATTTTGTTTAATTATTGATATTTATTGGATAATTGTTCTCACTCCTTATTTTTCTTTATTTAAAAATTTAATTAATTATAATATAAAATAGATGGATCTGCCAGCAATACCAGACCCTTTTCCTTCAGTTATATTAGCAGTATTTTCTAGAACGAGTTGGAGTGTGGATGCAGTTGCTAATTTTGTTACCTTTCACGGTGTAGCATTATCAACTTTTACATTCTCTCCGACCCAAGAAATTCCTACTGTTATTGATGGTCATATAATAGTTACCTTCTATCTACCCCCAACCAACTATGTTAACCCAATAGTAAATCTATATCAACCTAATATGTAAATATTGTAGTAGAAGTAGAGAATATATAGTATGTAAATATTTTAGAATGATATGTAATGTAATTATAAGTCAACTATATGTGCATAAGTTCACAAAATCTACCTTGTCTTTATGTGAAATATTATTCATGTTATAAGTGCATTAATAATTTATAAAAAATACATATTTAATACTAAACTTAAGAACTATAAAAATAGGCATTACATTAACCATTGAGACTACGTCTAGTTCTTGATCCAACTAGATCAAGTTCCACTATCTTATGCAAAGTTACAAGTATTATTTTACCAAGCCACTTCTGACTCAAACCTAAGTATTCTTTGACTTGCCTTTTCAAGCAACTACCTAATTATTATTTCAACATAAAACCTCTCCAAGTTTTAACAACCAAGTATTCTTTTACAGACATGCCTCCCCAAACTCAAACCAACAAGTATTTTTTTACACTCAAGCCTTTTTAGGGTCAAAACAACAATTATTCATTTACAATCAAGTTTCTCTAAGCTCAAAGTAATAACACAGTTAAAGTTGGGTAAGCTAACTATGTTATTTTGTTTTACTATCAAGACATGATACAAACAATTAGGTGAAAAGACATTTTACAAAAACAAAAGAATATAATTTTTACAATAATTGATCTCTTTATTTGTTGTCATGTTGTCATGTCTTTCATTTTGAGCTTCAATATTTCTTTTATGAGACTTCAATGATGATGATCGTTGCAAATCCTTGAGCATCTCTCATATGCTTTCTTCGTCTATTTTCATCTTCATTTCTTATGGAGATAAGTATCTGTTTGTGTATTAAATGCTTGTATTAATTGTTTTTACCAAATAGTCACTTTTTATATAATTAAGAAAAATACTTATCACCATTTAGGTATTGAAAAAGTGGAGCTATGCACGTGTCAGTTCAAAAACAACATTTTTTTTGAAGATTTTCATGATTCACGAGATTCGCTTGTCTTTTTCTAATGTAAAGCATGTCTCCCTTCTCTTTTGTCATTGTAGGTATCAAAGAGGTTGTTTTGCTTCAACCTATTAAGGAATATTGTACATACATTGATTTAGTTATTAGACATCATAAATGATATTAATTCAAAGTAAATGTCTTGTAGATGAAGTATTCCGCTATAAAGAGGGATCCATTTATTTTAGGAGTAAGTCTAGGTAAACTTACTTCATTCAATAACTCATGTTCTATATCAAATTTCAACAATTTAACCGTTGAATTTAAAGTTTTTAATGCATAGATCAAGTCTACAAATTTAAAAAAAAATAAAAAAATTATTAGATATTTCGTTTCATTAATTCAAATCAACATATAAAATGCTTTTATGATTATTTGTCAATTTGAGTTAATGAAACAATGTATCAAATGATTTTTAAATTTTTAAAAAATTGCTAATTTGATCTATGCATTAAGAACTTTAAATTCAACGTTAGATCGTTGAGGTTTAATGTAGAATATGAGTTATTGAATAAAGTAACCTTAGGTAGACTTACTCTTGGAGTTATTTGATCCCTACTATATATATATATAATCTATTTGAGAGTTCATTTTATTAATTCAAATTGACAGATAATCATAAAATCATTTTATATGTTTATTTAAATCCATATAACAAAGTATCATATGATTTTTTTTTTAAATTTGTAGACTTAATCTATACATTAAATTTTTTTAATTTAACGGTTGGATCATTGAAATTTATCATACACCAGAGTTATTGAGTGGAGTAACTTTAAAAAGAAATACTCTTAGAGTCATTTGATCCCTCATCACACACACTCACATAAATGATGAAAAATAAATACAAAAGAAAAAGTCATGATACATCAAATAAATTGTTGGTCACTAGGGCTAGCTCTAACATAGGGGTACTATGTCTGAAGTCTTAGCTTTGAATCTTGTTGTTACTATTTTGCACAAAAAAAATGTTTGTTAATAAATACCTTAACTATTCTTAAAGAATTAAAAAAATAATTGAAAAGTATGATTATTAACATATTAATAAAAAAATAATAAATTTTATAAAAAAAATTGCTAAATTATAATAAGTATATACTAAGGATATGAAATTATTTTGAAATAAATATAAGATTATTGATCAAGTTAATCCAATAGTATCTCTCGGTAGAGTTACACTATTCAATAACTTTTATTATATATTAAATTTTAATGATCTAACAATTGAATATTGATATTAACTCAATGATTAAGCACACCATATTTTAGATATAACCGATATTTATAATTAGTTAATCTTATATTTGACATATAGTTAGAAAAGTATATCATACATTAATTTTAATTTATTTAATATAAATTTAATTTATTTAATGAAGCGTCAAGTAATTCTCAAACATCATAAAAAATTTTAGACATTCACCACTCCAGAAAATATTTTTGATTTAATGATTAGATTGTCAAAAATTAATTTGCACAAAAGAGTTTTTAAATTGAGTATATCTACCAAGAGTTATTCTTTGAATAATTAGACACACATATGTGTGTATATATATTGTTAATTAAAATAATAATTGTGATGTCAAATAATTAAATATCTCTTTTTTAACATTCATGAGGTTAATGTTCGTTTGTTATTTTTTACGAGTTTATGCCTATAATTTCTATAACCGCTAAATAGATGGAGTAAAATATGGAAAACTTTGACTTTCATCATTTTATATGAACACACACACATATACATGGTTGGGATCCTCTTACTCAAAGAGTAACTCTTGGTAGAGCTGTTCCACTCAATAACTCTTGCTCTATATTGAATTTTGTCGATTCAATCGTTAAATTAAAAGTTCTTAATGAATATATAATGTCTACAATTATATACAAAATTTGATGATTACTTCATACTTTGTTACATACATTCAAATTAAAGGCTACTTTTAAAAACATATTACACGTTAATTTATAGGCTTGATCTATTTAATAATAACCTTTAACTTTACGGTTGAATTGTTGAAACTCAATATAGACCTTTAGTTATCGATGAGATTTGCTAACTTATATCCACCTGTTTTTTAGAAGGAGTAATTAGCAAGTTACACATTAGTGTGTTTTAAAAAATACCGTAGTTATAGCTTGCTAACTTATTCTTTCTTAAAACTCAAGTGGGTGTAAGATATCAAACCCTTAAATATATATTTTTTTATTGTCTTGACATCAATGTCTTTTTGATTTTTTAGAATTCAATGAGAACTTTGTGACTTGGTGTTTGTTTTTTTTAACCTAGAAATCTCCTATAATATAAGCTCTTATACAGTCAAAAATAAAATATAACAATCAAATGAAAACATAGTTGCTTCCCTAAAACAAGAATATTATTTAATCAAATATTAAACAAAATTTATACCAATTAAGAGTAATTTGAGAGTCTATAAGCATTTCTTCTAAGACATGGTCTCAAGACTCTTAACTGGAAACTATAATTAGAGGTTGATTTGTTGGAAATTCATGCTTCTTGGTACTTGAAAACATGATCTTTATGATCTTTTCTTCCTAATTTTGTCATTGATAATACTTTTCTAGAATTAGAACTTTTTGTGAACCCACTTAATTATGTGGAATAATAAGTTGAATGAGATGATGACGGTAATATTTTTGTGTTAGAAGAGTGTCACGATTAATAGCATTTACATCAATATTTAGGCGACTTTATCAACAATGAAAATATTTTTTCCTATTGGCCATATGAATCCTCCAGCAAAGACAAGCTTGCTTGAGTCAAGTAGGATCATTATGAGCAGCAAAACTCCCCTTCTAATTATTCAAGGAAATTTCATACCTTAACTTGAACTAAAGACCAATGATTAGGGTGGGACAACCTTGTATCAATTAATCTATGTGCTCAGTGATAACAAGAGAACAATTTAATGCACCCCAATTAACATTAACAATTTTAACAAAATTTGCTATTATAATTCATTAAAGACCTTAAGTTTTTTTTTTTTTACTAAAACACTTGACAATTGACATTGAGTCAAGAATCAAAACTTACAAAAGTTAAATCCAAAATTTTGATGACTAATGTATAATATTATGACTAATTTGATCACATAATTTTGAAAAACTTGGATGTTGTGCGACCAAAATTACAACCATAAATTATTTTTTTTTAAAAAAAGAACCTTAGTTAAATCATGAGTTATAAGCAAGAGAAGAGAATATTTGTCTTTCGCAATAAAAATGCTTAAACCAAAGAAAAAGTGTTGAAAAGAGCCATTTGCACTGGTAATTTTATTACATGAAAATGAAGAAAGAGAATTATGAAGCCAACACCTACATAACCTTGACATCATAAAAAAAAAACTAAAACTAAAATCCACAAAGATTAAAGGAAACAAAGTTCTCTATATTTGTCTATGCAATAGTGATATAATCACACAACACTTAGATAGCTATCTAGTTTTATTAATCTATCCAAGCATGATACACATATTTGAGACTCAATGTCTTGGACCTAAGCGCAACTCCAAATCAATGTCTTCATTAGCACTTGGAGTAACATTCATGGAAGTGCTTGCAACGACATCTCCTGTATGCATCTGAAACCCATACTTGATGGTGTTGGTGTTATTATTGGTGCTGGTGCTAGCTTCTCCATTTGGTGGATCCAAAAGAAAGCGATCAGTCATTGGGACAAGGGTGAAAAGTTGTTGAGATCGGTTGTTAACAACCACAGGCACAGAGTTTGGGATAGATGGATCAATAATCAAGTTCCAATCATTGGACATGAAGTGAGGTGAGGAGTAAGTGGGGGTCCTTCTCCCAAATTCATGTGGGAATGGTGGTGGTACCTGTTGCATGAAGTTAGCTGCATAGCTTTGAACTTGTTGAGGGGTCTTATTGCGCAAAAAATCTTTAGCAATTTTTGTCCAACGCCCTTTTCCATATCTAATTAGCCCCATTACAAATAACCTATAATCAAAATGTAGTATATTAATTAGTGTCCTAGCAAAATAAAATCCAGTAAAAAATAGTAACACAAAGATATTCTTAAGACTAACGATAGATTAATTTGCTTCCAAATTACTTTTTTCCCCAAAATTTTGAGAGAATAATGGAAATGGAAAGACAATAAAAAAGCATAAGAAAATTATATATATATA